AGGCCCCTGTCGCGGGGACGGGCAGGGCGTGCGGAGCAAGGAGGGGCCCTGGGCCGCCCTTCCGGTGAGTGGAAAACACTGATGTAGTGAAACAGGTTGCGAAACTGGAGCTCAAGGTCCCGGAATGGAGCTCACAGAGGCCAGGCCATCCAGGCGCCTCCTGGCTGGGTGTCTCCTACCATCACCTGGTTGGGGTGCCTCCTGCATCACCTGGCTGGGTGTCTCCTGCATCCCCTGGCTGGGTGTCTCCTGGCTTCACCTGGCTGGGTGTCTCCTACCATCACCTGGCTGGGTGCCTCCTGCATCACCTGGCTGGGTGTCTCCTGGCTTCACCTGGCTGGGTGTGTCTTGCATCCCCTGGCTGGGTGTCTCCTGGCACCGTGTCCTCCGAGAACCAGCGAGTCCCTGCCCCCTTCCCGCACACACACTGACTTTATAGAAGTCCATGGCAAATCCGGTTTCCCCTTCCTCTTCAGGGACAAGTGTCACAGACCCAAGTCAGTTATTTGTCAACGACTCGTCTCTCACAAGCTGGGGAGGAGGGTTAATTTCCTCTTTTTAAACGCGCACAGGGAGAGACTGGAAGTCCCAGGGCAGGGTCGGTGTTGGGACTGCCCGTGTCTGCCTCTGAGACAGCCACTGGCCCCAGTGCAAGGGTTCCCGCAGGTCCTCCCGCAGAGGTGAGGCGGTTGGTGCAGCGTGGCCATGCACGCAGAACCCGTCCACGGCATGTGCGCTCTCATTGAGAAACAGCCCCCAAAGCTGGCGCGCTGGGCAGGCTGGGTGGCTCAGTGGGTTGGGCGCCCTGTGCACCCACGGGCGGCTGGTCAGGGTGCAGCGCATGCCTGGTTTTGTTTCCCTCCGGTGGGGGCACACATGAAAGGCGACTGATTCATGTTTTTCTGTCACATGGATGTTCCTCTCTCTCTCCCTCTCTCTAAGCATGTCCTCAGGCAGGCGAGGATTAAAAAAACAAAATACGCCACGTTTGTATTAAAAAGTATCTCTGTATTATCCTTTCCCAACCTCCAACCCTTATACAAAATTTAAAAACACAGGTACACACGCTGCCAAAGACAGGCTTCCGGGAAAGGTCACTCTGGAAATCTCCCAAAGTGCGGCTGACCGCCAGAGACATGGACAGCGTACAGTGACTGCCAACCGGTGGTCCGTGAGGTCCGAAAGGTTGGCGACCGCTGGTCTATGACTCTGTCCATTTGCTACAGAACCCATCAGATCGACACCGCCCCTCTCTCGGACCTGTCCTTTGAGTTACTTTAGAGCAACAAGACAATAATCTATTCAAAGTCCTTGGCCAAGTAGGACTGCTGTAAACTTTGTTCCCTCCTTGGAAGGATCCAGAAGGAAGGTCTCTGAGGACCCTGACTCTGGGTGAGGGGCCAAGGTCAGGGGGTTCTATACCCTCCCTTTACCCAGAGCCTCCTGGGATGTGCCCCTCCGCCTGTTATCAGGTCTGTGTATCTATATATAGAAAAGCCTAATGTGCAAAGTGTCCCCTTGGGAGTCTGACCAACTGGGAATTCGATTGCTCGCTATGACGTGCGCTGACCACCAGAAGGCGGCGCGGAATGAAGGCAGGCCCCGGCCAGCAGCTGGCAGCTGCTAGGGACCCTACCTGTGCACGAATTTCATGCACTGGGCCTCTAGTTTCCTAATATTTCTCCCAGCATCACGGGGTCTCGGAGATGACCTTGTCCAGTCTCCTTATTTCACAAGTGAGTACACAGGCTCAGAGAGGCTGAGCAAAGTGCTCAGGGCCACACAGCACAATGGGCTCAGAAGCAGGAGCCCCAGTCCTGGGCGTCTGCCACGGAGGCTCTGGAGCCTGCCCCCACCCCGTCACAGGACTGTCGTCACAAGTCGGGCATTGGGTGTCAACGCACACGGCCGCGTCTTAAATGGACAAAGGACCAGAAACCTCAGGCCTCCATTCTCCCGAGGCCAGGAAGGCCTCCTGGCTCCTGCCTTGGGCTCTTT